AAGCGACTCCGACACGCCTACCCTAGGCGGTGTGATATGGACTGTGCCTACCTTTTGAGTTATTGTTGCTTTGGGACCATACACTGTGCATTCCACAAGCGAGAGCCTCTCCAGATTGGTTTCCTACTCGAAGCTCGAACCGCGTGTGGTGGATTGGTGCTGGCCGACGATAAGGAACGTGTAATGACGTTCAGCGATCTCGAGGAAGAAGTCTGCAACATTACCATCCGTAAAAGAGAGGAATGTGAGTTTTTTTGATTGATTTTCTGACGACTCAGACATTCCTGACGAGAAATTGCATTCCATTTCAGCGGATTCTGGAATAGTATTGAGACTTTGGAGCGAGTTGTCAGCCGCGGTTATCTCAAAACACCGGTGCAGCAAAAATGTACTTTTGGGAACAGCTATATCTGACGTTCAATTGCGATGGTGGCGAAGCTGTACAGTAAATCTCAATTCACTTGCATTCCTCGAAATATCTTTGCAGCACACGCGAGCGGTCGCGTAGCGTGTCGTTGTATACGCTGTGCGACAGCTCGCATGTGTATGTGACACGGGCATGTGACACATTTACTTCTTCTGTTACAGACAATCTCGCGAAGCCAAGGGACCGTACCTAATCGAGGCAGCTGCCACTCATGAAGAGTTCCGTGCCAAAAATGAGATTCGAATCGCATTTGTGAAAGGGAATACGTTGCTTGCGACTAGAATGGCTATCGCCTATTCGACAACTATCGATAGTAAGTAGCGTCAACCATACCAGACAAGTGATCTTCAGCCAACGTTTCTTTTGTAAGGAAGATTGTGCGATTACAGAATGTGGAGGAGAAATCACCGCCCGCGAAGGATACATTAGCATCCCCGAAATTCAAGGCGATTTCGATTGCATATGGACGTTACGCGAAAATCCTGGAAACGGTGTGAGAGCGTCTGTAACGTGAGTTGGACGGATTTATTACCTGTAACAAACTTCTAATACTGTTTTGGGATGATTATTGTTGTTCACTAGCAAGAGGTTAGAGCGCATTCATATTTCGCGATCCAAACGCTCTAGCGACGCGATCGCGCGATCCAAACGATGATTCGCGAAGTATGAATGCGCTCTCACTGCGCGACAATCGTGAGGGCGGCGTCCGCGACATTCCATTAGAACGTCTCCCTTTTCACTCCCCTTCGTTTCATCCAGGTAAAACCATGTTTCGCTGCGCCTTTGTAGCTTCGAAGTCCAGCGAGCAGTTTTGTGCCGTTGGACCTGATTCGAGGGAATCGCGAGCAGAAAAGATCCCAGTAAACTTGGGCATAGTAGTGATAAATGTCTTTCTGCTGAACTCTTGCGAGGCTGGAACATCACCTTACCGTTGATGAGCTCTTGGTGTCCAGGACGGCAAAGAGGAGGAAAGTACCAATGAGGAGACAGTAGTGGTCAAAGTGACGCCGCCCTACAGCGGCCCTAAGTGCTGGTGGAAAGGCTTTCTTCGAAGTTTGAGGATCGAAGCTGTTTATGATTACTCTACCAAACGTTTAGGCACCCTGCTGAAGTTTCACGCCAAAGAGTTCACTGCCCCACTGCAATGAGACCACTTACCGTAACCTAGTCCAATCTTCAAGGCCACTCGGAATCTGGCAGTTGCACCAGATGGGACCCATTTCCTGTTCGGTGACTCCAATTTTGGTGTTGAACTTGAGTATGAGTAAAGTAGTGGAAAGGTTTGCCCAGGTAGTTAGCTAGTGAAGTGATCTATCCACCTCGCCGAGTTGTCAGTGGCGTGTGGCGCGATTACCACACAAGCGGGCACTGAGTCAGGTTCCTGATCGGTCTCGCGGTCAACGGACGAACTTGATTACGCTCGCTGGCGGAAAAACTGGCACATATTCGTGTAGGAGGGTGAGAACACTGACTTGTTCATACGCTGGCGCCCGCAACTCCTTGTATAGGCCACATCTCATTCAATAAGCACTCAACCCATCTGGCGAGAGTTCAGCAAGAAGACCTCCATGAATCATAGTATTCCCGAACTAGTAACCGGACGTAACGTAGCTCTGTCGCCCTTACTCGATTGGGTGCTGGTGGAATTATCCGGGGGTAGCGCATCTTTTCCGCGATCGTCGCCGCTCGGGACTAAAGATGTACAACTCCCCAGCAAACCCTCCAAATACATACAGAAATAACTGAACTGTAGAATAAACTTACCTTTGAATTCCATAGAGAGACGTGCAAGAGAATCGTAAAATGCTGCTTCGTCGCGCGCGGCAATGGGCGCGACGTTTCCTTCAATTTAGCACTACCCTTTCGATTGGAGCGCTGGATTTCATGTAGACAAGGAAAACGTGGGCATTTATGTCTATTTTTGGTCATACATTGACCAATACCAACTAAAGTCGTCGTCATTAAAGGGGGCGACGTCGCACGCGACGCCCACTGGCGCGGCGAATCAAGATTCTCTTGCCACATACTCGGATTCCACATATGCTCTTGTATTCATAGATACATAATTTTCAGAGAATTGCGAATACCGTACACTCCAAATTGCACCGATTCATACGTGGAATTCCGTAAATGGAATGCGTCCGGTCCACTGATTGGTCGATGGTGTGAAACAACGGCGACGTCTATGTTCGCCACGGTAGCGTTTTTTTCAGTTTGGAGTTAACTGGATATCAGTCTATCATAGTCTATCAAAATCTTTCATTCAAAGGCACGATCCGCGATGATGTTAGAAGTTGAAAATATGGCGTCGGGAGGGTAGCGTGGTCCGCGACGAACAACCTTGTACCGGTTTCGCGGCAAAAAATTGCAAGGGGAGGGCGCTGTAGCGCAATATAGGTTCAGTGAAGCCTGCTTGTTTCTAGTAGCTCCCCCCCCCCCCCCCCCAAGGACTCCGCCTTTCAGTGAAAACGAAGCTACAGGACGAAAAAGGGTGAAAATCGTCTCTTGTACGGTCGTACTTATTGGTGGGTCAGCTGTGCGGATGAGGGCGCAGTGTAAGAGATGGAGCTTTTTGGGCGCGTACAAATTGAGATTGGAATTGGGTTCTATCAGGGCAGTTGTCATGTTTTTCTCTGCTTTTTCGTCATCGAACCACTCAAAACTGTAAACCCGTAGTCCTTTATCGGTGGTATCAAGTGGTCGCGGGTTTGCCTTTAGTATCAGGGGTCGAGAGAGTCCTGAGGGCAGGACACTTTGTACTCTGAGATTTCCAACGAGAAGAGCGTCGTATTTGGCCAGAGAAAAGTTCTTGTGGTTGGTGTCTCTTTCGTTTACGCGTGTATACAAGGGGAGGGGGCAAAAAAATGACACTTCGGCCGAGTCACATATCAGCGGACTTTTCGGAGCTCAGACAGAAGACGTGGATACCAGTACCTAGGGCAGGCAAAGAAGTCTTATTACCTCTTCGATTTCGGCCTGCTGGAGGAGGACGGTGCGAGTAAGGTAACAAACAAGGAGAGTGGGCGACGCCAGGAGATACAAGCTCCTCCTTGTATTATACGACGCATACATGCGGCACTGCAAAAGATAGTTGACAGTCAGTATTGCTCAAAATCGCAGCCGTGACTGGAGAAAGCTTTGAGCAATATTCAGTACCTACAATCACAGGAGATCAGATCATGCAAAACGCGGTCGGAGAGTGAGAAGTAAGCGAGCTCACCATGCGATGCCTGAAGGGCCAGTACGTCACAGTCGTAGACCTCCAAAATCGAGCAGCTCCGACAGATTACGGCCCGGCAGCCCCGCCCACGCACGTCGCTACTACGGTCCAGGATATCATTTTCACCGCAGTGGCCAAGGCGCGTGTTGATGGTATGGGCCGGAAATTCCTGGAATGGGTAGACCGATATTCTCTTCGTGGACCCAGGACTGAGAGTGAAGCTGACGGTTACATCGACCTACTCGAGGAGAATATCCTGCCTTTATGTCATCGCCTGTACCTTCTTGGAAACTTCGTATTGGGCTACGAGCGATCGGGGTGACATCACATGGAATCGAAGGGCGTTGGAAAAACTCTCGCCTACTTGGAATGGAAGGACATTGAGTACCTGAAGAAGACGGAATATCTGAGTGTGTCACCGACTGTGCAACGACTCCTCGAGTTGACCTCGGTTTGGAAGCTGGAGCTTAAGAGGGAGGTCTACAGTGACGGAGAATTCACGATCTCGGCTGGCTGAACTCAGGCAATCGGAGATCGTTCTGCGTTGCGACGTACAGAATCTCGTCGATGGGCTCTCTAGATAGGCTAGTGGGCGTAGTTATGCATGATTAACGCGCATACCAAGTAATGCTGTTTGAACACGGTTGGTGAAAATGTCCACGGATCCAGAATTTGATAAAGGTGTCGATTTATATCGTCTTGAAAAGACGAGGGAAGAAAAGTGCTCTTTTGCACCCACCCCATTGGGTAGGGCTTGCCCTAATAAGGTGACACCGGTGAGCAGGTTGTAACATGAGGAATGTCATAACTAGCGGCCTTAGGTTGGGCATTTTACCGCCCACCCCCCCATCTTTTTCTACGCCAATCCCGCCCGCGTCAATTTCGGCAGTCAGTGATTCGTAAGCACCCGAAAGGATATTGCGAAAGGAATTCCGGGGTAGGCCATTTCCATTATTACGTCATTTCTGGGTAAATGGAATAAAGAACTAGTTTCATGAATTCTTATGCTCTTTTCGCTTGTGATCAATCTTCTGCTTAGTGATGCTGTTCGCATTTAGGAAGAAGTTGTACTGAGATAATAATTCCCGCTAGCGACTAAAGCCGAGAGAAATTCTACTCGATGAGGACGCTAATAAAGCCGCCATCTAAATGCGAATCGCTTGTTATCAGGAGTGAGCCCAACAGTTTTTTAACGTACCGCAATCCTAGGAAGTACTGTATTATTTTCAGTACATGGCGGAACCACAACGTCTCATGTGATTCAACAGCCGTTGGTACTGATCGAAGAGTTGTACACAAACTTTATCTGGATCGCTGAAGGAGAGCCCGATAAAGTCAGCTCTAACTTTAAGTCGCGATCGATATCGATCGATATCTGGTGCAGTCTTCAAAAATTCACTGAAATTCTTGTCTAGGGTATCCTCGTCCATATCGATCAAATCCAGATTCCTGAAGAGAACTACGAGGGCTTCGATGGAATCAATAAAATAGGACTAAGCTTACGTAGTTTCCAGTGACCTTTCTCGAGAATCATCGATAAATCGATCAAACAAAATCAAATTCGACAAATGTGTCGCATTCAGCTCGAGAGGCTCTGGTCGACAATCCCAGCTACCACTCGATGTCATAATGGACGGCGCAAGGGAAGCGTACGAGTTGCCGGACTAAAGCCGTCCCACCGCGGGTGAGTACTCAGATAAGGCGTGGCTGTAGGTATACCTGTAAATTGGCGCCCACCTATTACGGGTGACTGTAACGATAGCTGTTTTCAGATATTTATCTACCGTACTCTCGTATGGAGGTGTCGTTCTTTGCTCCACCGCGAAGCGAATTCAAACTGACATGGCAAAGTGTGCCGAAGAGAGACGCGAACTACACGGATGGTGATAAGAATGCTACGAAAGGTACTGTTAATGGATCATGGCGCTGTTAACACTGATCGTGTGGCGGGTCCATGCTTCACTACCTGCGCTTCTCATTGGTGCGCCCACTGGCGAGCGTCAGGGACGCACCAATGAGAGATGGCATCTGAGCCGGAACAGACCTGCCACTGCATTTCGCTCATTGGTGGGCCTCTTCGTTCTGAGATTCCATGGAACGGAGAAAGGCACTATGACTGGGTATCCCCGCCCATTCGATTAGCGTGGACCATGCTTTCGAAATTTTCCAGAAGGTTTGGTTTTGTGCAGAAGAACGGCATGAGCTATAGTTCTCTAATAGCTATATTTGCTTTCTAATTTTTAATATTTTTCAGTGTATTCATGCGGATCGGTAATGGTTCCAACATGGGAATGGCAGGAGCTGACCAATCCAAAACCTGCTGGCAAAAGTAAGGCTTGTAGTTCTCAAAGGCTCATAACGCGAATGGCTGCATGGGTGCACTCGTTGCTTGGGCAAAGCTCATAACCGCACTGTGCCTTTCCTCGCTGTGTGCACCTCCTCTAAGAGGGCGAGGGAAAAGATGGAGTACTACAGTGAGGAATAGTCAGGGTGGTTATGGGTCTCCGCCCAATTTACTCATCGCGGGGCAATGCATTTAAATTCAAATGTGGGTCCTTTGAGGGAATTGTGATTTTGAAAGTGCTTAGCCCGAAGAAGAGTCAAAGAGTGATTGCGAGTGAAATACACTGATGTTTCCCTCTTAATTTAGCTACTGGATATGAGAACAATATGCACTGTAAATGGACGATAGAGAGACCACTGATGACTGGACTACGTGTGAGGGTGAGAGGGAGTATTTCTAGAGCTTCTATGTTCGAATTACCAAGAAGTCTGGATGATAACTGGTATTTTAGTTCACTCAGTTGGATTTGGAAGCTGTACCATCTTGCCCATTCGATTTCGTTTCACTTCTGCCTGATCGTGACATCACTGAAGGGAGTGGAGAGTGAGTGAGCTTATAGCTTTTCTTTTTGGTGGCAGGTCTAGCGCTACTGAAAAACCTCGCGAAAACCTGAAAACCTTTGCACAGCAAGGCTTGGGCAAACGAACAGTCCACACTGTTCATGTGGGCGGTGTCAGACCTGCCAATGTGGCTCTCATCGCGACATTTCTAACATTATTGCTATGCCGCACTTCTTAGGCAGATCTAATGAATCGTAGTAATCTGTCCTATCCAGGGTAGCCTTACTAGTGCGCTCTTGTCGCTCAAGGAGAACGCCGTCTCACTACGAGTTTGGGCATTTGGGGGCGCAGTTTGGCGACAGGGGAGGGGAGGCATTCCGGCAGGCTTTTGGCTATTCCCCATCGTCGCGTGCGACATTGTTCAGAGAGCCTGCTTCTCGAAGTTTAGACAGGTTTTCACCATGATGGCGTTGACGAGCCTGCTCTAGCTCACAAGTGTCAGCAGTCAACAGGTTTCACCCAAAATGAGAAACTTGTAAACCGGAACCGGGGAAGCCATGATAGTGACAAAATCCCCCCCCCCCACACCCCGTCGCCAGCTGCGCCCATTTGGGTTCTTCTGCTACGAGAATCAATATGGGGCTACATCCTGACTTGATAGGTATACTGATCCCGCTTCAAGCTCATACACCACTAAAAAGGTAGAACCCATGTACGAGTCATTCCTAATATGATTGAGAAGAAAGATCACGCTAATGAGACAACGCAAAACCTTAGGTTCAGCCTCACCTACACGATTGGCGTGTTTGTGCTTTCATAGCAAATTATTTTAGAGTTTCTGCAATTTTTCGAAATAATTTTGAGTCTGTGTAGGGGCACTGCTGTGCCGTAGTCACAAAGGTTTGTCTGAACGGTGAGAATGGCATGAGTACATCAATATTTCAGCGAATTCCAATACGGCCAGAAGTATTGTGCCCCGGGACAAGCCAACATGACTCTTGATTACTCATATAACAAGGTCTGTCGAGTTTTTCATTAAGTTTTTTTCCATGACTGTACCAAAGACCTTCCCCAAAATAACCCTGTTTTCTCAGGGTGTGGCCTTATCTCTACGTGTGAGACGTCGTCTCACTTCAAAAGTTCGCTTTTTCCAACTTGCAAACTGGTTGTGGATACCTTCTAACCATCATCTTCCCTCGAAAAAGCCCTCTGTGGTCCTGGAGAATCTACTAAAGAAGGGCAGCTCATATCCCGGAAAATATAACAATCGAACTTGTTCTCATTCAGCCGCGGTACAACACCGTTGGCAGAATCCCATCAGGGGATCGTACTTGGTTTGTTTGGGAAGGGGGATCGTATTTGGTCTTGATGGAAATCCTTCTGTCGAGAGCCGCAAGAAAAGTTCTTCTCTAGTCGACTTGTTGACTCGAGCCGCCCCCCGCCCCTATGAATGTCATCCTGCAACGTCGAAGTGTCCATTTACAACTACTATTTCGGTCGTACCAGCGCAGAACTTTCAAGGGAGGAGAATTGTCTGCCCTGAATTCGCTACACTATGATTCTTATTTTGAGACTTGAAGGGACTTATCCAGGTTCTAATTCTCTCCAAATGTTCAATGGTGTTGTACGTACACTTCGTGTCTGATCGTTCAACCGAAGTGGCCCTGGATTCAGCTACAGTTTAAACTGAGTAAGTTTGCCTTTGTCACTTTTACTGTACTGCACCACTTAGAATGTTCTCATCGATATCGATAAATCGATGTCGATATTGATTTATACTCGATATCTATTGTATTTCCCTCCGAGAAATTCGTTAAAATTGTGAGGGTCTTTCGTAATGAATACGTTCATGGCCATACGTTCAGCTTGTAATTCCTTCGACTATATTCGGCAGTCATATGGTTTACTCGATCATGTGCTGACAAACCCGGGTTATCCGAGCCCAAAAGAAGACGAGGTGAGCAGAGAGTTTCCAGGGCCTCAAGAATTAAGGCTGAGAAGCCTTTCAATAGGAAGGCTTCAATGAATTTTACTACAGCGAAACTTTCAGAAATGCATGTGGTCTGTTATTCTTGGCTCAAATCGTCGCATTGGTTATGAGATTATCGACCTCGATTTGGAGAAAACCGATCAGTGCACCAAGGATGTGTTGTCTGTGGTACGTTATACTCTCTTATAGGCTTCGGGACAACTCGGATGCGGTTCGGTTTGGGAGGGGCACGTTCGCCCTTTCAACCCTGGTAGATTACACATCACACCTGGTGAAACATGCTGACTCTTGTCAAACGTAAGCGAAGCTCTTGCTACTAGCTTTTAGCAGGAAATTGACAAGTCAATTACATGGCGGAGGGCAGCATGCAGCAAATGCCAATCAGGCAACTGCGCCGAAATTCGCTCATCCGTCCAGGAATAATCTGGAAAGGTTCTTTGGGCTGGAAAGAATCTTTCCAAATTATTCCTGCACGGATAAGCTCTGGTAATCTGAGCTAGGGTTGCGCTACGTCTTGTTCGGCGCAGCAGTGCTTTGGAGAGACGGTAGCGGCTAAAAGTATTGATGGAGGCGATTTTTCATACTTAAACTTTCTTCACGAACCGATTGCTCTTGAATTTTGAGAAGGAAACGACGTGAGGTCAACACACTCTGAGAATACGCCATGCGGCTTAATTCCATCCAGAATTGCAGTTAGAATGAGTGTTTTTAATCGACTCAATGGCTTGAGTGGTCAGTACAAGTGAAGAGAGCCTACTGAACCGGCATCACAGAGTAGGAAGGAACGGTCGGCCTAGGCGGAATCAGGTTAAAGGTCAAACCAATTCGTCAGGTGCTTTATAACGGTATCACTTGTCAGCCCCCCCCCCTCGGCTCAAGTTTCGGGCTCATTAAGCGTTCCTGCCTGTCCAAAATAAGGACTTTGAGCGAGCACGATGTTGAAGGATAACATTTTAATAAAGTTACTAGTTGAACTACTGCTTGGTTTTTGCAGGCACCTCGCTCTACTCAGTTCAGTCCTCATAAGAAGGAAGCGCTCTATTGTGGCACGCTCGACTCGTTGACGACCCGCAATGGCACAATGCAAACCGGGCGACTGTTTGTGCGCTACGCTAATGTTGGAGCGAGAAACAAGGCCAGATTTTCACTGAACTTATGGCTGATTCCCATTTAACGGTGAACCCAAAAAATTAAATTGCCGCTGATCAATTTCAGGGATTCAAAATGCGAATATTCGAGATTTCCGAAGACTGTAGCTCGGAAAATTTGTTTGTTGATGAGAGTGAACCTTCGAAGGTGCTCAGCACTCCGCGATACCCAGGATGTAAGTGATTACTGTCGTATGTACGATCCCTGCAAACGATAGGGCGTGGTTTGTGGCGCGACCAGGGAAGAATTGCCATCAGTTGAAGGGGGTTCAGGAAGGCAACATTGGTGGAGAAAGTCTGCGCTGGCTTGGGCGACACGCCCTATCAAGGGATTATGACTGTAAGTAAGCGAATTTGAAGCCTCTTATGATTTCGACTTTTGGGTTACATTAGGAGGTTCTTGTTCTCCAGCTAAAGTACCGGCAGGGTAGAACCCTGGATGATCGCTTTATAATAGGAGTTGAGCTTGAAGGCGCATTCCGCGAGAACAATGTGGGCGGAGACAGATTACCCTACCGTTGAGCTTTCCTCATTTTTCTCATTCCAAAATGGTGAGAGGAGAGCAAGTAACTGCGTCACCATGCTCGGGTTTTATATGATTTTTGGGCCGTTTTGGGCAGGCTAATTTTCACAAGGTACAACACTGCACTCGAAGTTCATTTCATGTGGGATAAGTTTAAAAGCACATTTCGTAGTAATAGTATGGGCGGAGATAGACTGCGGCCAAGCTCTTCCGATAGCTGCCCCACCGTTTCCAAAATATTAAGAAGAGGGAGCGCGCATTGTGGATGGCTGTCTCCGCCCACACAATCAGCGCGGAGCGTGCCTTCAAAAGGATATGTTTTGTATGGCCTAAGGTCCAACTGTTATAAAGTCAATGAACTAGGGAGCGGATCAGTACACACTGAAACTGATAGAGACTATTCGACATAGTGCTAAGTGCTATATGAGCGCCCTAGCAAACCTTCAATAAGTCCGCACGGAAGGGGCATTGCGTTTCTAAGGTCATAACAATTTTTTATAGGAATCAGTATAGGAACCTTATTTTTCAGAAAATCGATTTTTTTAGACTTACCACACTCCCTGGACTGTCAGTACACTCTACGCGCTCCGAATGGGCATCGTCTGAAGTTCACTGTCAATACAGAGCAGTTCAGAATGGAGTCAGCTGATGACGAGTACGTCAATTTTTGGTTACAGGGTGCACCGCCGAAAACATCAACCCTAAAATTACTGAGGGAAAACTAGTTGAAATCATGTTGCAGAATTTTCAACAGGGCTCCAATTACAGTCCCTTGAATGAAAGGGGGGCCGTCGCCCGTTGGTTGCCGACAGGCTTCAGAGTTCTTCACCACTTGAAGTATTTTCCGGTCGCGGAGTTGTGATTTCGAGGCGATGGTGTGCGGGGCACACTCTTTAGCGATTTACCAATTCGTGACCTTCGAGTGGAATACTGTTATTTTTACTGGTGCGTTACTCCGTAATGAACTTACCAAGTTTGCAATGGATGCTCCGGAACACAAATATTTATTAAGGCAGTTTCATAATTAATCACACATTACCAATTCTCCAGATGTGCTGCGATTGAGTGCGTACTTTCGGTTTATGAGAATCTCGAGATTGGCTCGGACGCGACGCACTCTGCCACTGATTTGGCCGGTTAGCCCGTTAAAAACTATGAGATGATATGAAATGATGAGAGCCGCTTCTACTAGTCCTACTCCACTTTTCGACAATTGACCATCCGCGATTCCTTGCGGTGAACACCCCGTCTACTTCACAGCAGGCGCATTCCACGTCGATCATTGTGGGACTGAGAACGGAGTTGTGGAAGGCACCATCGAACCCCTAAGGAGCAAGGGGCATGAGGCGCCAAACCCAGTACCAACCAACAGAACCATTGCCTCCTTCTCGAAGTTGCGTGCCCCATTCCTGTGAGCGAGTGCAAGAGGAAGACACAATTTGGAGTTCTCCGCCCAAACAGTCAGCGTGGACTGCCCCACAGAAACTTTATTTTTTGCCCTTTCTCATTCTGGTTTAATCTCTAACATGACGTCTTGTTAGGTACTGCAACATCTACGCTCCTTCGACAATCTACTCGACCGGCAATTTCTTATTCGTACGAATTCGTACCGACTCGTTTGCATCGAGCAATGGGTTCACAGCTGTTTACGAGTTAGGTAGGTGTTATCCTACCATAGGTGAAAATAATTGTTGATTTTCCAAATTTGAAGTTGCCCTCCACGCTAGATATGAAAAATTCTCCTCCGCGAGTCAAAAGAATGGACTGTAAAGGGGTACAGTAATCCGGCGTTTTAGATCAACCTCACCTTTCGTAGAATTACAGTACTTGGATCTTTCATAGAGAACACCACTTGATGCAGTCAACTCGTTTCCCCCTTCAGACCTAACCAAAAGTCTTGATCACGGTACTTTAATTTCACAAGGTCCTTCGAACGCCCTATCTAGGACTATTAGCGCCCGCAAAGATTATGAGCATTCCTTGGCCTGGGTTTACCACCTCGTGGGGTAGCAGCGGCGTTGAAATCCCCGCTCGTAGTGTGGCCCTCCCCTGAGATCGCGATGCGTCGTTGCCTGTCGTCTCAGTCGACCTCTTACTCTCTAAATCTTTGTCATCTAGCCCCTAGCCTACGCTCGCACTATTCTTCGCCTTATCCTCGTAATCAGTAGCAGAAAATAAACTCTTCTTCTAGCATTTTTGCTTTTTTTTTTGCTTTTTTCACGCTCTAGAAATACAGCTCCAGGATCTGACTTTGCTTCCCGGGCATATCCTGTCAATGGGGAGGATTTCGCAGAGTAAGACCCTTTCCTCAAAATTCTCTATTCTGATCCTTCTCCCTTCCCCATCTCCCGATCATTTCTCGAGTTTTTTCCATGTTCTTGTCTTTATTTCCACCGAAATCTGTCGTCGTAGGGGAAGGGGGGAGGGGGTGGGCAAGCGGTCAAGAATCTTCTTCTAAAATGCAATCACGGCCCTTCTCCATCCGGCAGCGACTGGATACAACCCCTTCTTTAGAATAATAACCTACAACGTGAACTTTCTGCTACCCATATCCTGTTGGCCTGAACTGAATGATGACGGGCTCTTTTCTGGAGCATTCTCTAACGTTCGCTGAAAAATGAGGACAATTTATAAACAGGGTATAGCATCGTGATGTGTTGGAAATGGTGTGTTCAGCACTACGATCCCCCTCCCACCTGGGAGACGGTCTCAGTGCCCCCTCCTTCCCCAACACCTACCTACCACTTTCCTACAAGTTCCCAGCTTCCTACCAGTTTTTCCGAAATTTCCCACATTTCCAGTTTTTCACCCAAAAATTTTTCGTTGAGCGAGGGGGGAGGGGAGGGTTTATAGCCAATGCGAAACAGGAAATTCGCGAAAAGTCAACAAGAGGGGAGAATTTTTCCCCCAACTTCTCAATTTTTTCTACAACAACGATGCTGTACCCTTTTTATAAGCCCCTTCCTCCTGCTTGACTTGAGAGTGGCTTCATTTGTTTGACATTTTCAGTATTCGTTGTATGAAACCTTTACAGCATCATGTGGTGGAACTGTGGTGCTTCGACCTAATTCGAACTATACACTGACATCTCCGAACTATCCGGACGTTTATCCACTTCGAACGGATTGCGACTGGTCTGTTCGTGCACCGAACAGCCACATGGTTGAAGCGAGGTTCGTCGTTTGTTCAAGAGCAAGGACGTATGGGGAAAATGCTTGCTCATCGCACAAATTTTAGCGCTAACTTCTTTCTGGGGGAAGATTTGGGTTAAGTTCGGCTTGGTGGGGCACCAAGGAACACTCAGTGAAGCTTGTACAGGCCACTTGGAAGGACCTGTAAATTCCTATAAAGGAAGTAAATCATTTACTCTTATTCCTAACTTGGCGCGAGTTTACAAATGTTAGCTAGCAGTGGACAAGCAAAAGAGAGTAACGAAGCACATTCCCCCCTTTCTTACCCTAAGCCGAGCCGCGTCTAATATCGTTCAAAATCTGGCCTGAATTTGGCATTCTAACAACTGAATTTGGAGGAGTGGAACAGTCAGGTAAAGGGGTAAATAATGCAGATGTGGAAAATTCCAACTTGCGAAGGTCACAAAGCAAGTTCTAAGAATTTCAAGTGGGAAAGAAAAGAAGGTAGTTCAGGGAGGATTTGGGTCTGCAAATACGGTCCGAGTAATAGCTTCATAAGAAAAAGGTGGTCTCTTTTAAGGGTTGTTCATATCGGTCTCACATGGAACGTGAACTGCTCTACCGACAGCATTTCAATTCGAGACGGTAACAAAACAGGTGAGAATCCTTTCGTTCTATAAGGAACTCTCAGAAATAACCCCCTTTAAGCACCATATCTCATGGAGCCGCAGTGCAATGGCCGCCATCTTGACAAAATCAATTATCGATCGGCTAGCAGTGAAATGACAGTACAATTCCGATCAAACGGAACAATACAGGTGTGTTTTTTATTTTCTGCTGAAGGTACGGTAAAGAAAATCATGAATGTCATGTACTGCGGTATTTTTACAGAAAGCTGGTCGCCAACTTTGTAAGGATAAAAAGTGTGGATTCGAGATGGCCCTCAAAGTCAGCAATGAATGTAGGTTTATTAGGGTAGTTGATAAAGCCTAACCATAGTTTTCAAACTGGATTTTCAGCTTGTGGTGGCATTATCACTGGCCAGCAGGGCCAGCTTACCACACCAGGATTTCCAGGACCACTTTTAGCTCATGTGAGGTAGGCAGTCACCAGAAATAAGCGCTATATTTTATTTTACCATGGCCGTTTTGGCCCATGATAGGTTCAGCCTGAGGTAAAGATTATAGCCAAATTGTATTACTATAAATGGTGAGAAAGCGGGTTTCCAATGTGAAATTCCATGGACCTGTTGACTCATCAGAGGAGGAAAACCTCTCTCTAATTGATCAATGGCTCTTAGTATACGCCACGCATTCGCCCTTGACTCTCATTTGCCGATAATTTGTGAGATTACATCTGGTCTACAAAAGGTGGTGTTAAATTTTAACATAACGTACCTGGTTTTGTATCAAATGCCGTTATTATCACCGAAATTATTTGGGGCGTGTCAGCGGCACAGGGCCTTTAGCTCGGCGTTAGCCCTTTTCCACCACTTATTGATTGCCCGATGCTGCAACGATTTGATGGGAAATAGGCTACCGCCGCGACAAAATCCGCGCGCCGCTGCCGTCACCGACTGACTTCAGTGGTAATGACTGAACCTAACACCAAGGAGAAGAATGCTCTGGCGAGCGGAAAGCCTCTGCTCCCATTTTCGGGGGTTTTGTGAAAACAATATTCCAATGGTACAGTCGGTGAAATGGGCAGACTTTCTTGAGCTGGTGAGCCCTTCGTTTGCCCTGGGAGAGGCGCACCAATGAGGAGGGCGCAGTGATTCGTGAGTCCGCCCACCTTATCAGCGTGGAATCTGCTTTTAATTTCCTAGTTCCATGGAAAATGATGATATGTGTTGTCGTGAGAGTAAAAAAAATACAAATAATAAAAATACCCGCAAATCACTCCCTGTGAGTTATTAACAGAGTTGGAGGCGATGCAATTCATCAGAATCATTTTCTTCAGACTAATCCTCTTTGGAGAGATTTGAAGGGATTTCTTTCTTCTGTTAGAGCTTCTATACACAACTATAACTTCTCAAAAGTTGCTATGAGAAAGTTGCTTTCCAAAATTGCTTGATCAGTCAGTAAGTTGACATTCTGATTCAGATGCCAATGGGAACTTCGTGCTGGTATCGGCTTTCGTTACATGCTGTCGTTCGAATTCACTGAGGATCGTGACGTGCGTATTCTGTGAATGTCTTCCAAACTTCATCTTGCAGTATTTGAGACAAATTCCGTATTTCAGGGCTTCTATCAAAAACGTTACGGTGGCGGTGCAAGTGGTTGTTTCCCTGATTTAACGGTAAGTGCTCTAGCCAGGTCTACTACTCTAGGGATATGGAAGCATTTGATCAGGAGATTCGTATTGCGACACACAGAATCTAGCTTGGCATTAATTGTTTCGGCATACTGTATCAATTCCGCGTCACATCACTTAGGTTTGGTGCGTATGCCGCGCTCGCGACATCGCCAACAACGATTTTTTGCAGCGGACCTCAAATGTCCCTTACTTGCTTTGTAATTTTCGAAACTCAACAATTGCCCAAAAGGGATTTATAATGTGGGCCATCTAGTTTTGACAGAAAGAACGGTGCTTCCTTCCTTTAGTTCCAAGCTGATCCAATAGCGGGTTAAAAGCTGAAGTTTTGGCTGGGAGATCTGAAATAATTCCTCCAGCGGCCTATTCGTTTCTTACTGAGTCTTTTTTTATCGCGTTAGGTCACATGGAGGCGTCGCGTCAAACTGTGAAGTGTTGCCCGCGAGACTCTGGGCTGGATTGGGCCGAAAGACTCAAATCTGGGCGCGCGACAAGGTTACTAGGCGACGCCGCACTGTGACCTGACACATCCTTTTTGTAAGTTTCCAGAAAATCTCTGATTGAGTTCTCCTTACAGTTCTTCAATGGCGAGCCACAACACGAGGCGATCAACTACCGTAGCGACCGTATGTTCTGCGATAATCGCAAGACGTTTATCAGTGATGCGGATCTTGCCACGATTATGTAAGTTTTTTTGGTGGAATTAAAAGACTTCAGGAAGTGCAAAACAAGTCCGAATCGTCTGCAATGTCCATTACATTCGCTGCCAGGGTCACTGGGAAAATCGGAGGGAGTTGCCCTATTTTGGTTGGGAAGGAGTGGGTACTATCTGGTTTTGAGACAAAGGTGGTAAGGTGGTGGGTAATTTGTGGCAGGAGAGGCTTCCAATTGGAACGGAATAGCATCTGGCCCATTCATTGTCTTACGAGGGTCAGTGCTGCACCAATTAGAGCTTTTCAACCCTCAGACGAACCGCCTTTATCCCCTCTATCCGGCCCTGTAGGTATAGGAGGTTTGATCGAATTGTGCGAGGATTCATGCGAGGTTTGATCAGCAGCCAGATGCACGGTAACATCGCCACTCAGCTCTGCACCACTTCCCGCTTTGCGCTACAATACGTCGCTTGAACGCCCATTCCACGCTGTCTATATGGGCGGAGTCGGCCTGACGTACTGCCTTTTTCGTGGGTAAGAGCCTCTTTTCGAAGTCGGTGAAGATGAAGAGCTCAGCGACAAAGCAAGCATGATTATAAACCTGGCTCCGCCCTCACGATCAACGTAAAACGTGCCTTCAAACGACACCTCTTCATGCAGAAATGTTATCATTTTAGTTATTCTGATACCAACACAAAGCACTACAAGGGACTGTCAGAGGATTCAAACGATGAAGCTTACTACGTTCCATTCCGAGTAAACTACACAAAGGTCTGTGTGTTGCCCAGCTTTTGGTCTCTGCCCTCCTAATGACGTCCGCCATCTTCAGGTTCCCAACACGTTCGACAAAAGAGGATGCGGCAACCTGATCTCATCGAATAGCTCCCAAATGTTCGGAAACTATTCATCGTTGAGCACCGACACCGTCCGTGAGTGTTGTTCAAAGTCTTTTTTTGGACTGGTTTTTGGTGGGTCACAAAACCTTTACTACTTACCTTAGAAGGTTACAAAGAAGCCATCAAGTTGCGGTATACGGTAAGTGAAAAGGCAATAGCCCACCGAAAGTTTCGTGACTGGTTGTAGTCCTGTTCGCGGGGGCGTGTCAGGGGCTAGCTTTGGCGGGCGTCTGCCCTTTCTCCACCAATTGTGGAAGCCCAGGCGACCACAACTGGTGGAAACTGCCTGGCGTCGCGTCAGACTCAACCGCCTGATACGCACCAGCATTCTCAGCGGGTAAGACTGTACGAATGCACCTGCGAAGGATCTCGAGCCATAGTGTTCAACCTTACAAGTCACCATTTAGGTTACTGCCACGTACTGCTTCGGCGCCCACAAGGCTATGCGACGACGTTCGTGGAAATCAGCGAATTCAGCGAAGTTACTATACTACATGCTCCGGACTGTTCCGATTGGACAAATTCGGTGATACTCGAATGTAAGTGGTTATCTCTGTGGATGGTGGGTCACACCTTAGCTGTGTATACATCTCTTTCATGTCAGCCTCCTCCTGCACGCAGGTACCGTCCTGCTTTTTGGCCGGATTCTTCGGGTAGTTTTGTTGAAGATGGATTGGACCTTGTCAGGGGGGGGGGGGCTTACGAAAGAAGAAAAGATGATGGGTCTGTTATGGAAGAAGACCAAACGGGTGAAAAAACGGTTCATTATATTGTGCGACATTCTTCAACACCAGGACGTGCCCTGGCTATTTATTTGATTTTGAATCTTCTTTGATCTATTTTTATAGAAAATTCATTTCTTGCCAGGAAGGCTTGAGGTGCGGGTTCGAGTTTTGGCTGGTATCGAGGCTTTCCCATGACTCAGAATTTTTGTGATGACAGTTTCATTTCCAGCAACGATCGATGTTCCCCGTGTGGTGTACGAGCGGTTCTGCAAAGTGTCATTTATGAACTCGACAAAGCCGATCTCACGCCTCTATCTGAACCAGGATATCGAAATACACATCTTTTCCATGCAGTCAGCATATGTTCCTGAAGAAGGAATGTCATTCAAGTTGGACGTGACCTATTTCAGTAAGTCATCAACCATCTACTGTCCAATGAGTCAGGGGGGGGGCTAGGGCTGTGTAACAAGACAATCGTAATTCGCTGTGCTGGTCGGTGTCGCGTGCGCATCGCGCTTGAAAATGATGACGTTACTGTCGTAGGTAGTGGCAGTAGAAAATGTGCAACCAAAATAGCCATAAATGTCGTTTCATGCATGCAAATTGTCCTGTGTGCAAAGGGGGTCTGGCACTCTGGGGCGAGGCTTTCCAAGGGTCTATTGTGGGCAGGGGATAGTGCTGATGACGCTTACGCTAGAATGCGCAAATCGCCTCGTGAAAGATTCTTCTACATGAAATCCGGTGCTCCAATCGACAGGCTAATGCAATTCAAGAGAACGCTACGCTTATGGCTGCGACGAGCGGCAAATTGCGATTGTCTTGACCGTTCCCTTTAAATCGAGCATCATCGCTAACGAGCGAATTCAGAATGTGGAGGAGTGGTTTCGAGGCCCGAATACGGGCGTTATAACAAGTCCAAACTTTGGCGAAGGTCGACCGTATCTGAAAGATTCCAATTGTCTTTGGATGCTTGTGGCTCCTGAAGGAATGGTTGTGAAGGTTGGTGAAAACGGATATTGATCACTTCGAGTACCTTAGGCAGCGTTCAGACTTCACGGTAACACACCAACGCGCTACCACGCGCTATAACGCGGGGGTATCGGTCAGCGCTAGCCGCTCGTGTGTTGCCTAATCACACGGCCTGGTACCCTCTTTTGTACTCTACCAATACACTAGCGGCGGCGGTGGTCCAATGCCACTTCGACGCGCGTCAGCTCAAAGTCTGAACGCTGCCTTATAGCCTGTTGCAATTTGCCAGATAAGAAAGATCACACAGTCCGGTGAACCGCTGCTGCCGTTACCCAGGTCATTGTATGACCCCTCCCCTTTACCAACTCTTTGAGCTCGCGCCCTGACGCTTACATGTCAGGAGACTGATGTGAGACAATTTTGTGAAGTCATCATGTGGCTGTTGCCACAGACAGTAAAGCCACCTTCGAAACTTTGGAAACTGAACCAAGCCTGTGGAGTACGGCTGCACAGATTCCTCGGACTGCGAAATGTTTTTTGCTTGCCAAGGGATGGAGACCGATATCAGCGCTGTTATTCTTTTTTCACACTTCCTCTATTATATGGTTTTTCTGGAGCAACATTAGTCCAGTGGCAAGAAAAAAGCCTCTCCGAGGATGTGGGTCAGGAAGTCTGTGTTGCGGCGACACACTCAAACTAGATTGCCGCACCGACATTTCCTGTTTGCTTCCTCCACTTGTAGAACTCTCGAAACAAATCAATTGAGCAACGTACAGACTTTGCCGGCAGCTCGGTAAGCGCGTTGTCGACGCGAATCGGCCAGTGGAAAGTGCGCACAGTCAATCGCTCTCGAAGCGCTGACGCGAAGCGCTGGCAGTCCGCGAAGTCTGAACGCTCGCCTGAGATTTGATGGCAGTTCCGCTCCTGCCACGTTGCTTGCCTCTTCGAATTTCCTGACCCGAACCAAATTTGCATTCATAAAAGGAAAGGCGTAACTCAAAAGTAAGCCCATCCTGTTAACATTCTTGCCCTTACAAATCGGACTTGACAGCTGACTTTTAAAGTTTGGATACGACCCGATTTTGCATTGCGATTTTGAACGCAACTAGAATGCACGGCGCATTTGGGAAAAGTTAGCTTATCGATGGTTACGGTCCCATTCACAATTAGGCAGCCTCCAGAAAGAATATGCTGGCTACCATCAAGCATTATTGATAACAAGCTCCTGAATGCTCATAAATTCTATAAAAATGTTTATTGTGCACCTATTACAACTTACAAACACACAAAACATGCAGGAATTGTCACTACACTGCTAAAACTGCTATAGGTCAGGCTAAAAGGCAGGACTAAAGGTGAAGGCAGTCGAATCTCCTATATCACAATGAAGTTGATTATTTGCACCTTGAAGGATCTTTCCACTGCTGTGCCGCCGATATAGCAGTCACTGTCGCTTCAGGGATCACTTCTTTCCCCACATTCCCCAACCCATACCCATACCCCATCCACCGAAACCCCAACAGCAACCAAGAGTCCATCCAAAGCAGCACTGAAAGAAGAAAATACCATCGAATGCAAGAAAATTGTGGAAAGAAATGAAATACCAACCCATTGCGTATCAGTGATGGTGACGAGCTCGCAGAGCAGAAGGATGGTGATGAGGAGTATCCTGAATGAACTCTAACTTGACGGCTGCAGTACCAGGGTAGAACTCTCATTTCCATCCAGAAATCTCGGGAGGCATAACTCCTCTATTCGTAATCAATAGGGACTGAAGAAGGCGCTGATAAACTGACCTGTGGAATGGTATCTGATAATCTGTGGAATGCGCCGTGCATCCGCCCCCCATTGAAACAATCATAAGTCTATGGTTTCCTTAAAGGCAGTTGGCACGATGGTTTCCTACTTAGCCTAAAATGCTAGTAGGGCGCTGTATAGTGGGGAAATGGCGAAAGAACGGAGTGAAACGGTCAAAATCCTGCGAAGAAAAAGCCTCCGTTCTCAGTGACTTGTAAATCGATTTCGGACGAGTTTCCCGTAGGCATCTTACCAATCACCGCTACCGAAGATACGGCTGCATATGTGTACCCATGTATGCATGCAGCATCACGGCCGCTTCATACCAATCCCTTCGCTTCATAATTTGCTTAGCAAATGAATGAATACGAGCGTCAGGAACGGTCGTCCATTTGTGGGCGGGCGGGCGTGGCGGGCGTTTGGGACGTAAAGTTGGGCTTGATAGGGCCCTATAAGGGCACCTTCCTCGGGGAAACCGCTATGCAGCGCCTGCCCAGGGTCGCGGAATTCTATCCTGCCAGGAGTATTGATCCTAGTCGTCTTGGGGGATTTATCGTGCCAACTGCCTTTGAATATGGACCTAATCTGTGCCATTTCTGCCAGGATAGACGGATGTAATGATTTAGACCCATTCGCGATATGCGGGGTGAAATTAAAATGGTCGTGCTTGCTACAAAAATTTATAGCTCTGTACTGATACAATTTCAAGACTAGAGCGGACTAGATGAGAGTGGTGCATTCCCTGAGGCCTGGGCGTACTCCGTAGCGGGCGCGACCAAGAGGAAAATCCCGGGAAATCAGTCTCAGAGCAGCTAGAGAACAGGAGCCGGGAGAGGCGAGGCGAAAAAGATAAGTTTTTAGAGTTAGAGTTTTTGTAAAATTCCAGCCAATCGATGGTTATTGATTTGAACTACCAGCTTTGTGTCGAGGATCGTTGAAGGGGGGAGGGTAGTGAACCACGCCACTGAGTGAGTAAAGCAAAATTCGAATTTCATAGAATCGCACCTTATCAAACCATATTGACTGATATAACCAGTTTTTGCTCCTGCACAGAAGGCTGGGAATGGGTGAGGACAACACTATTGGGTACGTACAGCGGTAGAAATTGGATGTCTAGGCAGTCCCACCATATCAAACGGTATTCACCCAGAATACCTACCACATCGCCAATACCACATCGCCAGCGTTCATCTTTCTGTGACAAAACCCAGCCTTCGCTGTGCGCTTCTTCATTTCTGGGTCGAAATGCCCCGTTGAAGCCAACCATTTTAATCGCCTATGCAGTTGACCAACGTTGCGGGTAAGTTTGATATGGGTGGGCCACAGGTCAAAACGCACAGAGCGCACGTAAGCTGGGCTAAGCTTCGCCCACAGTGCGGGCGTGCATTCGAGCAGGCGATGTGCTTGGAGAGGAGTCAAGGGACTGGGCAAAATAAGTGAAGGTCAGCAACGGGTCGGCGAATTGAATAAGTGAGAGGCACCTGCAGGTGTGGAAGTGTGCCCCGATTTGGTAGTGTTTGCTTCAAAAATTCATTGGGTTCCGGAACTAAACAGAACGCGATTGCAAGACTACAATTTACATTTTTCAGCATGGCAGATTCTCAACACTACAGAGGGTGGTATAGACAAAATTTTTAACGCTGCCGGTGCCTACTGAAGAAAAATGAGGAGGGGGGGGTCTTTAACGTGCTGACGTAAGTAAGTATAACCTCCATTCAGTCAAGAGGCCACGATGAGCAGCTAGGCTCAGTGAATTGGATAACTTGAGCAAAATAGGCTCGACGCTATTTGTCCCACCTTTTCAAAATTTTGTTCGGAGTCCGGAGGTACCTAGAAACTCTCCCAGCGGTTATTTTTGACATATGAACCCCAATATGACAACTAAATATCTCGAGGTGCCCAGAAACTTTTCTAGCGGTTATTTTGACTCCTCAACCCCAATATACATTATGTTAGTACCACGGGCATTTCCATGCAAGACGGGTGTAAGTATAGTAGTCATATTGACGGGCGAAAAGGAAACAAGGAAAATCCACTACTACCTATGTAGTGACAAAACTCCAGCAAAATATACCAGCAATAACGGATTTGAGCGAAAAAATGCAGACGAACCCTTAGAAAGTTCGTTCATGGTAGGCAAACGGCTCGAAAATGTATTAGAAAATCACTTTGAAACGGCATCTCACTGCTTGAGAATTAAAATTGAAATTAACTAAAACGCTCACGTACAATTTTGATGGCAGCATGCTCGGCAGTCACAGAAAGAGAACTCTTGGAGGGAGGCGGTGACCTTTCCCTGGGTTCCCTCTTTATATACTGTACTTTGAACGGCTTTTTATATAGTTGACGTTCGGCCAATAGCATTGTTGGTTGAGTAAACATTATAACAACTGAATATTTGCCATTGACACAATGTAACCATCTGTTCGTGCCAATCTGTGGGCGGGTCAATGTGGCGTTTCCTGTCTGTGTGGGAACTCTATCCCGTTTGACCTTCATGGGTAACCCTGACGCGTTTGAAAGTGCAGCTCAGAAACTTCCAGGAGTTCAGGCTGCAGCCGTCTGCGCTCTTTTGCACAATCGTCTTCTACAACTATGACGACAAAACGCCTCCGAACTTTCACAAATCATATGGACCCTACCCCACCAGAATATGGGAGGATATCCTTTCCCCACACATTGATTTCTGCCCTGCAGAATTGTTCTCTGGTGCAGTTTCAGAGCAAAGTTCATCCACAGTCGAATGCTTTTCGGATGAAAAAGAAGCAGAGTTCGAGTTCGTGTTAATCTGCAACCAGGCATTGAGAACCCGAATGATGAAAACCTTCACAAACACGGTCTTTCGACAGGCAGACAGAGAGGTGAATTGTTGGCTCGGGAAAGATTTGATAATTTAGGTCACTTTCTCTTCTCTGCAGCTTTTCTGGAACTGGGGTACGCATTTCTAAGGCTGCGTTTATACTTTGCGGCAGCGTAGCGTAGCGCTTCCAGCGTACGCCAGCGGCAGTGCCGGGGAGAGGATGCATATCGATCTAGCGTTCCCAGCGTCACCAGCGTTTTGCTAGCGTTTGCAGCGGCAGGGGAGTAGAGACTATGGGAGAGCTGGAGGGTACAAAACACATCGATTGCGCGTCTCTCACTCGCCCTCAGTCTCTACTATACACATCGATTGCGCGTCTCTTACGGCCACATAGTCTCTACTCCCCTGCCGCTGCAAACGCCAGCAAAACGCTGGCGAAACGCTAGCGTACGCT